AACTTAACCGAATCGGCCAAACAATCATTCGGCTAATTTTTATCAGGTGTTTCAGGAATTATGATAATAGCTGTAAAACCGAGGATCTGCCGTGCGGCACCTAGGGTAAATATGGCAAAAGTGCGCTGCGCCTTACTGCGCGCATCAAATTTACATATCCTTTGTAATCTTTTTTTTTTATTTCTCATTGTTATTTTAAAAATTAAAGGTCAGATTTTGGTAAATTTTCTTTATATGTTATTTTCTATTTTTATTTTATTCTCAAACAAATGAATAAAGTTCCTTTATTTATTGTGGCTTTACAATCTTTAATTTACAAGGGTCCACCTGAATGTTATTTTAGTCTAAAATTTGGACAATTTTTTATTTTAGAAACTAACTAAAAATCTTTTATATATTCTATAGGAGTGGCAGAGAATTTTAAAAATCAGGGAATGAATGTTTTAAAACAGGAAAATCACAATATCAAGATGCTATAAATTTTTACACGAAAGCATTAGAAACAAATTGTCAAGGTAATAAAATCATTGAAGCATGTTTAAAAAATCGTGCAGTGGTTAATTTAGAATTACGTAAGTAAATTATTTAATTATTTTTTCACCAGGATAATGACATCTATTAATTTTATTATTATATTTATTACTATTCAAGATTATTTTTCTTTATAGAAAATTATCGTAAAGTTCTTACAGATTGTGTAAAAGCCATTAAATTAAACTCTCAAAATATCAAGGCATTTTATCGTTCCGCAAAAGCTTTATATGCAGTTGATAAAATTGATTAAGCTTTAAATTGTTGTGAACATGGAATTGAAGTAAATACAGTATTAATATTTTTCTAAATTGTATATAATGTGCAAGATAATCTTTTCATAATTAATTATGTTTATATAATCAGATATAGTCAAATAACAACAATTAAAAGAGACTTGTATTGAATGAAAGGAGATATTGGATTAAAAGGCTAAAATTAAAGAAGAGCCAATCAACCCACATATATATTAAATAATTGAATTTCCGTTATTAGCACTGAGTGAGGATATATATATGTAGATATAGTATGTGTTATGACTATCTCAAATTTCAGTTATTAATTCTCGGGATCAATCAAGTCAAATTCTCTTAATTTTCTTTTAAAACTTTCAGCGCCTGATGATTTAAAAACCAAGTAGTCATTTGAGATTATTAAATTCCAATTAGGGCTCCTATAAGATCTAAAAGGTTTTTATATAGTCATCGCCAGCAATGGACCACTTTAAAGTTTTTTTTTTTTTTTTGAAAAAATAATATTTCAACATACGAGTCATTAAAAAATATTGAAAAATATATATTATATAACACAAACCGAAAAAGAGGGATTAAAATGTTCAAGATGTGAATTAAAGTACCGTCTTGATAGAATTTTACTAACGTGTCCCTGGGATTATCAATAGGCTGTAAAGTGCTTTTAAATTATATAATATACCAATGTTAAACATAGACTTATGTGACTTACTTACCGCACAGTACCAAATATTTTTAACCAAGTCATTCGCGTCCAATGAAGTTCGTGTTGCTTCTTTCTCAACAAATCATAAACACGTTTCCAGACACCATAACTTTTAAACCAAATCTGCGATTCTCCTCGCATACTTCTCTCACTCCCTCTTTATTTTCCCAACGGTTTAAAGCCTTTTGACTCTAAACTCCATTGTCTGAAATTAAAAACGTGAAACTCTTGCTAAAATACATAAAGCTGGTTCGTCAAGTTCATGAAAAACTGAATAAAATAGTTCTAAATAAATTTCAACATTAATGAAGATGGAAGAAAAGTAAACGTAATTATGGTCTAATTATAATCGGGTTTACCAATAAACCCCGAAATATAGATTTCCGAAAGGACCCAATACCGACAAAGTTAGCCGGCATTAATTATAATGCTGGCCAATTTAGTCAGTATTATGTTCTTTTGGGAAAATGGTTTTCGAGATTTTGTGGTAGAACCTTATAATCGACGCGAGTAACGACGCGCACTTATTCATTTATAATTAACTACATATGATTTTATGTGAAACTTATGAAAACAAAGAACCTCTTCTATATATAATTGTAGATCTATTAGATTTTATAAAAAACAACTTGCTGATGAAGTATTGTACGCAAGTATGCATCAAGATGGTAACACTGTAATTTTATTATAATAGCTACTTTGATGAATAATCAAATTTTACGTACAAAATTTAGTATGCTATTGTTAAACAACATTCAATGTTAAGAAATTTTTGAAATAAAGTGAGAAAGCCAGTATATATATTTCTAATAAATTTAATAGAAATTACTATGATTCAAGACTAATAAACTATTAGTAAATACGTAAGTAAGTGTTTCTAACGTTAATGAAATTATATTGATATAACAGATGTAATCAATTCATTAATTAGTTAAGTGGCTAAGCCAATAAAATTTGGCTGCTTAGCCGGGTCATAAAAATTTAATCGGATTGAATCACCTATTCAAAATAATGTTATTGATATCTATTATCATAAGTAACTTTTCCAAATATCATTTACTGTCATGTCATGTTTAAGTAAAAGCCTACTTTATATTTCGTGCTAATTTTTAATGAAACTATCCTTTTTAAATTTCTGCAATTACATATATATATTTGTTATTTTAAACCCATGCACCATCGATTCCAGCGACAAAGTCACTGATTACACCAACGAAATCAGTAATTGTATTAAGAATTCTTGGTGGAAGTGTTTGATAAGCGTAAGCAGGTAACATTTCCAGGAAAGGCCAAGTGATTTCAAAATTACCCTGTTGGAGTTGTATTTTTGTAATAAAAGCAAGGCTATTTGAGGATGCAAAAAAGAATCGAAAATTAGAAATAGGCAATAATGCTTTGGTGGTTATTGGAGTATCTATTAATCCCGGTGAAATTATAGACACATTAATATTATGCCTTCTAGCCAAGTAACGAAAATCACGTGAAAAAGAAAGAAGCGCTGATTTTGTCATATTGTGATATATCATTTGTGGTATTGAAAAATGGCTAGCTGTAGGATTAACGACTTTTTTTCAAAATAAAAATTTTAATTAAATTTTAAGTAATTTTGACAAATACACTTCATTGTTACGCATAAGGAACTTACTTGCGATTTGGCCTTTGCCTTTATCTTGCATTCTCTTGTAAGTGGACATAATAACTCCAATGATCCCGTTAATGTTTGTAACAATTACTTGTTCAAACATATCTTCCCAGCGAGTTTCACCATCTTGAATGATGTCGTTTTGAGCTAAAAGAGTACAAAATTAGCATGTGACAAAGAATTTTTAAACAAATTAATATACTTACAGATATTAGCAACTAGTAAATCTATCGGACGTTCATTGATGAATTCTTCAACTGTTTCTCTTAATAACTCTAAGTTAGAAATATCACAATGCAAACTCAAAGCTTGAGCACCCCTTTTATTGCATTCATTGGCAAGACGGTCTAATTTGTCTGTAAACATTGTACAATCAATATATAAATTATGATGTACTGTTTATTCATTTACTCATATAATTATTAATTCACTCATTCATTATTAAAAAATATCTAAAACACATACATTTATCACTCGACAAAAGTCCCAAAGTATTGCCCAATTGGGCGTATTCTAAAGCAAATTTCTCGCCAATATTTGTGCTACGTCAAATAATTAAATTAATTGCGAAAAATAAAATTGATTCCACAAATAATTGAGATGCACAAGCAATTGAAGAAAACATACTCTGCACCGGTGATTAGTATAACCTTTGGCCTTTCCTTAAACAAAAAACCAAACATACATCTCGGAACATCCCACCAAACTAAAAAAGTGGAAATTGGTAATGAAACGAACGTGGTGGTAAACCAAGCCACCCACGCCTGGATAAGAGGTTGGAAAATAGTTGGTATTGTTAATGGAGGAATAATTGTCATTTTTAAATTACTGTGATAATCGCTGTGTTAAAGTTTTTGAGTATTTAAACGCGTATGAAAAATATCAATTTGAATTCTAGTCCCTTTTTAACGCAAAATTTTTTTAAATTTATACTATCTTTGATTCGATATCAATTAATCAAAATTTAACTTTGATCATCATAGAAGATTTTACGTAGAGATAACTACTGCATAAAAATTGTGGAATAACACCCAAAGATATCACGAAAGATCTTAGCAGGTACACCGAGATCAGATTTCATCAAAGTCAAAAAATGACAAGATTTAAAGTAATGAAGCATTTATTTGGAATTAGAGTTACAAGTGTACGATAGGCATTGTTTATACTAAATTTTGCAAAAAAAAAATTAAAACCTGGAAGACAGTTCCATGATAAAATTTTTGAACTAGATTATCAAGTGTTTCTAATTAATGGTCTTATTGTAGAATCGTAATTTTGTCAACCTAATAAAATTGTATTAAAATGTTCGCTACTAAATTAGGGTTAGAGAAAGAACTTTATTAATACGTATTACCGCGAAATAACGCGCAGGGTGAAATTATGAATTCCGGCCTAAATTAAGCTTAATTCGGGCCGAACCTCGAAATAGCGCCCATGGTCGTTATTTCGCGGTAACAGCACTTAAAATGCCAGTCTAAAAAATTTCGCAGATCATGTGAAATGATGATCACAGGAATTTCCGATATATAT